CATGAATTATCTCACTAATGGCCCATTTTAGCTATGTTTGGAATTAAGAGCTGGGATGGTGAAGTCTTACCTCTTAGGATGAAGATTTAGGTGCCTCACTTGAATATCTTCAAAGTTTTAAGTGATAATTGAAGTATTATTTTATGAAGATTTGGCCCTCCCTCTAGAACTCTCTCTCCCTCTAGAAATATCAGAAAATATGTTCAAAATGGTCAAAAATGGGTGTTTTAATGGAATGGGGTCGGGTTTTAAAAGTTAGAAAATAGGAGCTCCGACATAAATATGCAATCGCATATGTGACCACATAATGGCTATGCGGCCCGCAAAATGACCGCGAAAGTGGCCCTCAAGGACCTCAATTTTTTGCCTGGGTTTGCGGCCAATATGCAGTCCACAAACCTGTTCTGCGGTCGCATAATGCGCCGCAGAATCTCCCTTCACAAAAGTCCAAGGACAAATGTGCGAAAAGAATGCCATCCACATAATGGATATGCGATCGCATAATGGACCGTGAAAATGACATCAAAATTGGCCCAAAAGACTGCCTCACTTTGCGGCCATTATGCGGCCCGCAGAGTGATTATGCGGCCGCATAATGGGCCGCAGAAATGCATACTTCTGCGAACTTTTTAACTTTTTAATGCACAGTTCAATGCGCAGTTCAACAATCTCTAACACATAATCTTAACTTGGCATCACAATATTCCGATTTTTAGGAAAAATATTACGGGGCCTTACATGAGAGGAAGAATCAGCGAAAGCAAATGACATAAAACAATGATAATAGCAAAAGAAAACTCACCCTCAAGGCCATCCTAGCCACGCCGCGTGACATATCGGAATCACTAATCTCCCAAGAGACCTGCTTTCAGCGCCAGAGCATAGAAGGTCAAATTGGGGTACCAACTCCACCGTGTCCTCCAACAGGTTAAACTCTGATGGAATTTCGAACACACGAGAAAGACCTTCTTCCCTCATATCGACCCTGGTAAAGCCTTCCTCTAACATCCTCATGTCCTCAGGATCGATGTCAAAATCAGATTCGTAATCATCTACGACCACGCCCTTCAACCTTTCATTAGCCGAAAAGGGGCACGCGGCCCTGCCGAGATGACGATGGAATGCTCGGAACAATCGCGGCGGCCCCCAAACTCTGTCCCCCTACCACAGTGTCCTCTTCCACGATCGAAACAGGCGTCGCCTCCACACCGAGGCCAGTATCACTGCCAGCTTCAGATATCGTCAAAGTAGGATCGCCCCTCGAGGACGTCTCAACTAAAGACACCCCCTCTGACAACCTTCGCCTCTTTGATGGCGCTTCTTCGCAACAGTCACGAGAAGGTTCGTTTGTTGAACGAATTATGGGAACCTGAGTGTCTGACCAAGGAGCAACCTCCAAACAAACAGGTTCAATAGAGGACGCAGTCCACCGAACAACCAAACTTTGGACGCTCTCATCCACAGTTGCCCTTGGAACGGGCCAGGCAGAAGAAGCTGGTTGACGGAAAGCAAGGACAGGAGCCCTGGCCCTTCTCGTCCCTCTCCGACCTGCCAATGAGAGATTCGACCAAACAAAGATATTAGATAAAGAAAAAGATAGAGCAAAGAATAAAGCAAATAAAGTCGAAGTTAGTCGACTTACCAGCGGAGGGTTTGCGCTTGAACCTCTCGTGGAAAGGCGCCCACTTGCGGATTCCCATCGTGTGGGGCAGAATCGAGCTCACCCATTCGCGAATATTGGCAACTTGCGGAGGAGGTACTCTCTCGGCTGCAAAAACAAAAACAAACACTCGACGAGTTCATTGAAGGGAGATGACCAACAACCATTTTAAGAAAAAATATATAATATAATAAAAGGAAAGGGAGACCTACGGGCAAAATTCCACGCCTCAGGAAACCCCGCAGGGTTCGATACCACGTGCTCTGTTCAGACATAGAAGAAGTTCTCCCAAAAGAAGCGATTGGCCTTGTCATCCATCTTCACCACCAAACCCTTGGTTCCTCGGTGATGCATGTGAATCTCGTGCCCCTATGAAAAAGGGGGCAAAGAGGTGAAGCATGTGTTGTAGAGAAATTCCCCGATCATCCAGTTCTGCGTACCTGACAAGCATAAGGAAGAGCTTATATACGTACGAAGAGAGTTGAGCCGGACACACCTCGTAGAAGCGGCATAAGTCCACCGCCAAGGAGGGAAGGGGAAACATGTATCCGATGACAAATAGATATGCGTAAAATGTGCAGTAGCCCGGGCGGTGTATATGCATTATATCACGACCCGTCGGAACTAGTTCAATGTGGTCAGGGATTCCCTATTTGGCTTTGAATGCCGTGAGCACCGCAACATCCATCTAGAGAGAACAGGTTCCGGCTTATCCCTAGAAGATCTATTGAAGTCAGTCCTCGCCTTCCCTAGGCGGGGAATCACCTCATCTACCCTCGGAAAACTCTCGTCCTCCACCAGATCTACTCCCTCTTGGAGTAGGGGTATATCATTTTTTGGCACTGGAGCACCAACGGCTCTATCAGGGTTAGAGGATGCACTAGCCATCTCTTCTTTGATTGCGAGAATCGGGAATAATAAGGGAAAAAAGGTAAAGGCCACAAGAATTATTAACAAAGAGGGAAATGTGAGAAACTGAAGGAGAAGAAGAAAAGCTGCGAAAATCTCTCTTGAGTGATTGGGAATCACAACATTCAAATGTAAGATTTTTCCCCATTTATAGGGGTATAAGTACCCTGAGCGGGAAAACCAAACGCCACCATTTTGAAAACGGAAAGGGCACGGAAAACGATGCGATACATAGAAAACGTATGCCATAATGACACATGATGAGTTTTAATGACATTCTGAACTGAAGTGGTGGTCTGATGCAACTCCCGAAATGTCACATCGCTACCTCGCCATGAGGTATTCACCCATCGCCCAGAGTGCTCAGACTTCTCACAAGTTTTCTTATCGACGAAGTCTGCCCATCGAACTCGCCCAAAGACGACCTCAATACGCGGAGGGACTAACTGTATAGGTCGATATCTGACTACATGAGAATCGGCGCAAAAAGGAATGGCGAGGAGACGATTAAGTCGTGGTTGTATCCATAAGGCACCATAACGACGAGTATCTCGGCCACGACCGAGGTTGAACTATCAGAAAGCCTGTATGGTGAAGTACATGTCATGGCATTTAGGGGGGACGACCTAAAGTACAATTGGCATATTAGAGTATCCTGGCTAAGGACCGCTGGGGTAAAGGGGAATACTTGCTATATATATAATAGGTAAGAGAATAAGGGGAGCTTTTCTTTTCTTCTTCAAAAAACACAGAAGAACGGGAGAATGTTTCTCAGGAAAAACAAGAGAAGGTTTAGAACTTGGCTGCTGATTTTTGTAATCATCATTATGGAATCAATAAAGATAGATTCCTTAGTTGTTAATGACATTCCTTCTCTTTCTTCTTTATTCTTACATTACGGAACAGTAACGTCAAGAATATAAGCCCGTCATTTATATTTGATACCGTTTATAATATTAAAGAGTTTATGAGCTTAATTATATCATATTTTCTTGCTCAATATTCTTTGATCTAGAGTTAATTATCTTTGGCTAAGATTTATCCTCTATTTTCTTGTTAATTCGTTTTAAAGAAAGGTTTAATACTTTTTTGGTAAAACAAAGATCCCCTATTAAATTCGGAAATTGAGTTAAAGTATTAATGCTGTTACTATTACAATCCAAAACAAGCCTAGAAAAAATGGTTCCTAAGAATTATGCCCAAAAAACTTTATTCGCAAATAACAGAGGAACTAGCAATGCGGTCTAACTTGCCAGTTAATTAGTTGCTAACTGGTGTTGGGGCCTTCTAATCCAACATGCAGTTTTTTTATGTTGCAGTACTTTTTTCTCAATTTGCAATTAAAATATTTTTATTACCAATGCTGTTTTTGAATACACCACACTAAAGCATGGGTCAAGCAGTGGACTAGAGGCCGAGAGCATCAGCGGAATGTGCGTCCCAATACACAGAAATACTCAATAGAAATTCCAATGTCAGTACTCCCATTGCTTTATCATAAAGAGTCTGGTCGAGAACTTATACTAAAAAAAAAAATTTGGGTAAATAAATTACATTACAAATTCTCCTTTCACACAAGAGGGTTGCTCTGATAGTAAGCAACCTTCACTTTCAACTAAGAGGTTGTGAGTTCGAGTCACCTTAAGAGCAGGGTGGAGAGTTCTTGGAGGGAAACGTTGATGTTGTTATTCTTGTCCAGATCTTATTGTGTTCACCGATGTTAGTTGCTTGTTTGTGAATATTAAGCATATTTCTATCTCATGACAAAGACATAAGTTAATGAAAAATTTAAGAGCCACAATTTTTTTTCTTTCTGTTTGAATTCAATCTTTGCTTGATTTTTCTTTTCAAATTTCAATCAAAACATGTCCACACCATCAAGATTTATAATATAATGATATCGATGAAAATGTCCCACAAAATAGGTTATATTTCCTTTTGTATTCAAACATCAACACTCGCCTTTTTAAGGTAAAATTTTATTCCCATTCAATGTTTATATTAAAATACTAATTTAATTACTTAAATAAATTGAAATTCCAAATATTTTATACTAGAATTGTCAGATAGTTTAAAAGTAAGTAGAAATTAGGACTAAACAAAATACGGAGTATGTTAATCCTTTTTCATGTGGACACATGAGCTGCGTTAGATAAACTAAACGGTAAAATTGCGAGTAATGATTAAATTTCCTTGACGAAATCAAAGTCAGATAAAACGACGCCGTTATAAATCATTTTCTGTTTTTCCTTCATTCGGATTCGGATCGTACCAGACTTGGGATTCCACATAATTTGCAAAGAGGAAGTCAGGTGTAAATCAGAAGGAAAGCTCAAAAAAACTAAAAAAAAGAAATAAGAAAGCAAAAAGGAGGAGCGTGAAAATTGAGCAAAAGGCTCACTAAAGAACACTCTCATNTATATATACTGTATACATGAATAAATGTGTCTGCATGTATTGAGAAGAAGGAGTGCAGAAATAAGATGAATAAAGCTAGAAAGAAAAAGGGGATCTTTTTTTGAATCTGGGTATCTCCCCAAATGCCTTTTCTTTATCTTCCTTTTTGAGCATTAAACTATGGCGGACAATTTCTGTTTCTTCACCAAGGTAATGTGTTTTTATTTGTTTAACATTCTTGCTTCTTCTATATATCATTTTGTTTTTATATTTTATCTGGAATGATATACAGAACAGTGGGTAATGTTATTTTTAAAATCTTTTTTTCCCTGAAAGTTTCTTCCTTTGCCTTTTATACACAAGTTCAACTGTATGTAATGTTATGACAACTCGAGCTGTGTTGATCTGGGTTTTTCTCAATCGCTAGTGTTTCCTCAAATTTGAGCTTTTCACTTCTTATGTCATATTATTAGTTTCTATTTCTTGTATCTTTCCTCTTTTGTTGAGTGTGACAGTAAATTTTGATTAGCTTGTATCTTGCATTCCAATTTGATGAAAACCTACCTAGATTCCCTTGTCTTTTGTTTTGCTCTAATAAATTTGGAGGCGAACTTATTTTGTTGAAACCCTTTAGGAAAATTGGATGTACCAACACGAAATATAAAATCACAAGCATTTTAACTTCTGATTCAATTCCAGGATACTTTCATCATAAAGCCACCAAAGAAATCTCCATTGCTGCTGAGAATGGTGGTCTTATTTTTTGCAATGATATGTGGAATTTATATATGTTCAATTTGTCTGAAACAAATTGGTTCGCGTTCCAGTGGACCGGTCACCAGTGTTCATGTGGTTGAAAGGCCATGTGAGGCGGCAAATATTGAACCGTCAGAAAAACATTATCTGCACTTCCCCAAGCCAAAAACTTTTAGTCGGTGAGACATTGACAATCTGTTTGTATGTTTTAGTATCTCATTGTGGATAAAATTACTGACTAAATCCTGCTTTATCAGGGCTGAGTGTGCTTGCAATCCTGTAAGGTTTTTCGCAATTTTGTCCACTCAGAGGTCTGGTAGTGGATGGTTTGAAACATTATTGAACAGCCATATGAATATAAGCTCTAATGGGGAGATTTTTTCTGTTAAAGCCCGGAAAAGTAATGCATCAACGATTTTGGAAACATTGGACAAACTCTATAACCTAGACTTTTTGACCAGCGCTTCCAAGAATGAATGCACAGCTGCAGTTGGTCTGAAGTGGATGCTTAATCAGGTGGGTGACGTTTTTAATATTCTATTTGTCATGTCTGTTCCTAAATATGTGATCACGAGAACATAACTACGTAGAGAACATAGCTGTGATTCATAGAAAACCTTCTGTAAACTCGATTCATTTTATCAACATTGTGTGCTAGTCGTCAGTGATTTATATAGTTGATATATGAGGTTGCTTCTTGAGTTCTCAAACGTGAAGTTGGCATGTTTGTCTATCATCTGAATTTGCTCTTTTCATTAAGCTGTCATTTCGGTTGTATAAACACATAATTTTGATTAAGGAATTAAAAGAGGGGAAGATTGTTGGTGGAATTTCACAATGGAGTATTCAGTACCTAGCTGTGTTAGCTCGTCTTGAAACGTTTCTTTTCTTCTTCGTATGTTGGTTCATATGTGAAACATGCTAGCTTTGTTTTCAGAATTTTGGGTCGATGTCTTTTACTTATACTCATTCTCTCATTCACTAAACTGTATGTATGTGTTTGAATATGTAGTTATCATGTCTCAATTCTGAACTTGCATAATTAGTTAAGTTATGATGGTTTCTTATCACTTGTCTGCTGCTTTAATATGGTATATAGTAGATGGAACAGTAGTACCGGAATAATGAGTAAGATAGGGACTCGGAATCCTTTGCTCGAACGAAACCAGATCATGCGGAATCATATGGAATATTTGATGTTGATATTTTGTACCATGCTAAATTACCAATCCTGAAGTACTACAAGCATTGTGATTTCAGGAAAGAAAAGTATATGATGTGTATTTTAGTAGAAAAATACGAAGTTCCCAGATACAATCCTATGGATATGTAAGATACAGATTTCCAATCCTAGCAAGAAAGGGAGGGAAACAGATACTCAATTTAAGTGATAAACATAATTTCATACTCGATCTCATGGATACATATAGGAGTAGTATTTTGCGGAAAGCCATATCCGATGTCATCATTGATCCACCCATGTACAATGGAAACTAGGTAGAAAAAAATTGTGAAAATTGGTCTCCATGATACATCACCTTATGAATAACTAAATCATGTAAAAATTGGTCTACACGATACATTACCTTGTGAAGAACTAGATCATGTAAACTCTGAAATTACCTTATGCTTTGGTGGCTTGGTTCCTCATGTCATGGTTATGGATCATGATGGACTGCATGGGCATTTCTATGTTATTACAGGGTCTATTGCAGCATCATGAGGAAATTGTTGAGTACTTCAAAAGGAGAGGAGTTTCTGCAATTTTTCTCTTCAGAAGAAATCTTTTGCGCAGAATGGTTTCGATACTAGCAAATTCCTATGATCAGAATGCTAAGCTGTTAAACGGAACCCATAAGTCTCATGTGCATTCTCCTGTGGAGGTCAGTCTGATAAATCCCTATGATGTAGAGACACGTGCTTATGTCTTCATACTGTCCTAAGCAATCATGTTTTGCAGGCTGAGATACTCGCAAGTTACAAGCCTACGATAAACACAACCACGTTGATCGCTAACCTAAACCAAGTACAGGATATGGCTGCTAACGCTTTGGAATACTTTAAGAGCACTCGGCATATAATCTTGTTCTATGAGGACATAATAAAAAATCGGACTGTAAGATATTGCATATTCTACTATATCCCTGATGTTTTGGTTCTCTTGTGAGGAAGTTCGTTTTATACGCCTACTTCCTATCGTTTTGTCACAGATACTGAATGATGTGCAAGATTTCCTGAAGGTTCCAAGAATGGACCTCCATAGTCGTCAAGTGAAGATACACAAGGGGCCATTGTCTTCCCAAGTTGAAAATTGGAGCGATGTTGAAAAGACGCTCAAGGGAACATCTTATGAAAGCTTCCTACACGCAGATTACAAAATATAAATGTGCAGTCCTTGTGTATATGTAGCTTGCGTTGTTTAACTTTATTCTTTCATTATTTATGTGTAAAACAGAAGCTAAAAGGGGAACTTCTGGTTAAGATTTTGGTTGCAGCAGGCTGTCTTCGAGTTCCCCTTGTTTCAGGTAATCAATTTTGGGTATGTATTTGACTCTTCATGTTAAATAGGTTTTCTAAGCCAACAACAACAACAACCTAGTGGAATCCCACAAGTGGGGTCTGGAGAAGGTAATGTGTACACAAACCTTACCCCTACCTGGGGAGATAGATAGGTTGTTTTCGAAAGACCCTCGGCTCAAGAGGAAGGAGGTTTTCTAAGCTGAATGAATGAAATTAGCAATTTTGATCTCGAACCTTTTCTTCTCCCATCATTTTGGAATTATGATATTAATTCAATGTGGCATTGCATTTTCCACTGTAGGTAAATCACACATGCCATTACTCCTAGTGCTCATAACCGAATTAGAGAACCGTGAGGCTTAATTGGCCACCATGTAAAGAATGAGTAAAGTTGGTGAAAATGTACCTGGAAAAAAGCAATAGATCAAAACAACCAAATGTTTAGCATTCATTGCCTTCATTTGATGCTAGTACCTAGAGTTTTGATCTTACCAGCTTAATCATCAAATTTGTTTGTATCCACCAACCTAGTATGGCGTAAAATAGAAGAAGAGAAGTCTAAACGATTTAAGTTTTTTTTTTTAAAATCTGTTTGTAAACAAGAAAGCTGATAGTTTGTTAATTAAATAATGTGCGGTTACAGTTTGGGAGATTTGCATCTATACCCGCTTTTTATGATGCCGTTTTAACTTGTGTCCGCTTTGCAAAAAAAATTGCAAGCGTACCCGCTTTTTCGCATAACTTTAGCATACGGGGCTGAAGTAGCAAAGACAATCACGCAAAACTTCAGCATTCTAGTAGACGGGCCTGAAGTAGCAAGTGTGCTGAACCAAGTATGCTGAAGTTTTTGTTTGTAATTGTTGAACTTAAGCATAGTAGCTGAAGTTTTGTTCTCTATTTGCATTGCTGAAGTTTTTGTTTTTGTAACTGGCGAAGTTTTTGTTTTGTAACTGGCGAACTTCAGCTCTAGAGCTGAAGGTTTTGTTTCTGTAACTGACGAACTTTAACTCTAGAGCTGAAGTTTTTGTTTTGTAATTGGCGAACTTCATCTCTAGAGCTGAAGTTATTTAGTTCATTTGTAAAAACTTCAACACTATATAAGCAATGGACATTTTATTTCTTATTGCATATAACTATACAAGTAACTTGGCGTTTCCTTGTCATGGGCAAGATGCTAAATTTGTGGTGAATTGCTTTCACTTCAGCCTGAAGTTAAGGGTGAAAAGGGACATGGTGCCAAACAATGACCACTTGAAGATCCAATCGTATTTCTTGACTGGAATACAATAGTGTAAGAAAATTTTCGTCTTATCATTGAACCAGATATGTCTACACAAAATTTTAATAACTGAAGTTCCATAACAGCACCAACAGCAGCAGGAGAAAGAAGAAGAAGAAGAAGATGATGATGATGATGAAGATGAAGAAGAAGAAGAAAATGAAGGAGGAGTAGAAAGGGGGCTGAAGTTATTTAAAAAGTGAGTGCAAGTTAAAAAAATTTTAAAAAATAAGTATAAATTAAATGAGGGCGAATAAATAGGACGTCATGTGCAATTTTTACTTACAATTATGCCAAAGAGCATTTGAACCAAAATAAAAAGTCAATCCGGCAAGCATATGGGCTTCTACATTAGGATTTCGTTTTATGTACTTGGTATGGACAAGTGGTCACTCTTCTGTACTTCTAGATGAAGCTGACTACTCTTTGGTTGGCCCAAAATCATCATTGGTCTAGTTTGTAATGTGGCTTTACTCCACTTACCAATTAGGTTAAATCTAAAAAGAAAAATCATCTCACATTAAAAGTTTAGACGAATTCAGAATTTTGAGTACGTGAATTTTAAGTGATTGTAATTTACTTTGCACATATTAGTCTTTTATTTTTTCAAGAATATATATAGTTAGGGCTAGAAACAGTGCATATATTATTACAAATGCAGTGTTGCTAACTATACTCATGATGATAATAGCATGGGTTAAACTTGAATTACCCCCATCATTTTACCCCTTAGCACTCAAATAGTCTTTTGAAGAGGTGTTTGTCCGAAGTTTCAAGCTCAATTCAATTGGGTTAGTTATTGTTTGACTAAAAGATATCAAAACTTTTTTGATTAAAACAATTAATGATAATGATGAGGTAAATCTTAGCCAAGCGTAATAAACTTCATATCTGAAAATGAATCGGAAAATAAGGAGTAAAATAAAACAAGAGCGATCAATTTTTATTGATGTTTGTCATTTCTTCTTTCATGAGACAGAGAGGATGATCAATTTCGCATCCTTTTCCGGAAAGAAATTACAGGAGAAAGCAGCGGGAGAAAAAAAAAGCCCCCTTCTCTTCGAGAATTCCCCATCTATATATAATTCTGGGATCCTTGCTATATTCTTTGGCCGATGTGCCTTCACGCTACGGCCTTTTTCGTTGTTACTTGAGTATTGTTTTTAACTTAACGTACACTGTAGGCGCATGGACTGAAGTAGGTCGTGATGCCTACCGATATCCCTCCACTTAGGCGGGATCCGGGCTGGGTCGACTACTGTGGTCAGATTTTGACCTATACGGTTAGTCCCTCCGTCTGTCGGGGTCGTTTATTGGTGGGCCCGACAGATGGATTATGATTTTGAACACTTAGGAGAAATCTGATTGTTCGTGCCTTGGGCGTAGTTTTTAAATCGAGACAATGGCTCAGCGCGCTAACGATGCCTTTTGACCGTTGCGGCCGTTCAGAATCGGAGCGTTGTTCGATTTGAAAGGTCGTTCGTGGCTACTGCCATTATGACACACATTTCTTGGGGATTGAACCGTTTCATACCCTATCAGTTTCGATTGGCGACTCTTGGGTTTCCCGCTTGGGGAATTTATGTCCCTATAAATAGAAGAAAAACATCATTCGATTGGCACACTTTCTTGCCTTTGTTGAAAGAGTTTTGTAGATATTTCTCTTTTCCGATGCTTCAAATTTTCGATTCTCTCCGGTTTGCCAGAAATTTTCGTTCCAATCTCTTCTTTTTTCTTAATCCCTTTGTTCTATTAAATCGATATAAATGGCTGGTAATTCTTCCCGCGCTGACAATCCTGTCGCAACTCTGGCGCCGAAAAGTGATGTTCCTGCTCCCAGAGGAGTGGAAGTGATAGAGGATGAGGAGGTTCCAACGGCGGCCGAAATACTGCCTCGCCTTGGAAAGTCATGGAACGATTTCCACAGTCATGCCGGAAAAGAGCCAGAACCTGCTTCCTCTGTTATGACTGAGGTGGGGATTGCAGAGCTGAAGGCCAAATGGGGATCCCTCATCACGTCGAAATGCTGCCGGCGGAAGGAGACGATATTATACATTTCGATCCCTCGGGATATTCTGCGTTCTATACCTATCCCTTTATCGTCGGGTATACGCTTCCTCTCCCCCTCTTGGTGGTAAATTTCTGCCGTTTCTACAAGGTGTGTCCGGCTCAACTTTTGTCGTATTTGTATAAATTGTTCCTTATGCTGCTCAAGTCCATAGAGCTTGCTGGTTGGAAGATTACCCTGAGACACATGCTCAATATCTTTGCCCCTCAACTCATCCGAGGCACGATGATCCACATGCGCCATCGAGGGACGAAGAGTCTGGTGGTGAAGATGGACGACAGGGTCAATCGTCACTTTTATGAAAATTAATTTTATGTGAGGACCGAGCACCTTGTGGCGAATCCTGCAGGATTCCTTGAGAGATGGAACTTCGCACGTAAGTTGTTGTATCTTTGGTCGGAATGATAGTCAACAACTTTTCTTGGGCGGTATTGAACTGTTTTTACTTTTGCAGCCGCGAGACTACCTTCTGCGCCTGTTGACGATATCCGCGAATGGGTGAATGTCATTATTCCTCATATGGCGGGAGTTCGCGAATGGTAGTCCTTTTACGAGAAATAAGGACATAAGCCCTGTCACGACCCAAATTTACGTGACCGGCACTGGGCACACTACCCGACCCAAGTGAACCAACCCATATGATGCACCCAAATCATATGCATGAAAACTAATTTATCTGCGGAAGCTCCTTGAAAATCATGTACATTTTTCAAGTTAAATGATAAAATATTTTCCAATTCAAAATCACACATAACACCTTTCATGATAATAACAATGAGACTAAGTAAAATAATTATATTTTCATGAATGTCATGTACAATCCCATTACTACAACCTTTCAAAACTATCCATGGAGCCTCTATACCAAAGAATAGAACCAACAGTTGGAGTAATTCCAACAAAATAAAATAAGAAAGAACATGATAGCTACCACGAAATGAAAGTGGTGCTTCATAATACCTCGGAAAGAGAGTCATCCTGACCTGACCGCATGCCATGCATCATATATCATCCTGAAACATGTAAAGTAAGTAGGGCCCTGGAGGGCCCCCTAAGGGATGAGTACACTACAACGGTACTCGATAAGTGTCATAGACTCTCTCTACTTAAGTTCTTGGGACAAACTTTATAAAATGATACCAATATTTGATATAAAACGATAAGAAATTTTATCAATTCATGACCCTTGTTATTTTAAATAACAACCAAGTGAATATAACTTACAATATAAACTTTTAAATCATTTACATCAATCCAAGATTTTGGATAAATCGTACAAAATCATTTCATATACTTTAAGTCATCGAAATTTCTTTCAGCTCCTTAGGCCTAAACATAAGAAAATCATCCTTACCTTTCACTGGGAGTACCATACCATCATCGACATAAGAAGGTCAACTAGGTTATGTACCTAGCGGAGAGTATCATAAAACCTACTTGCTCAGGTCGTCTCGTCGTAGTGCCATACGAATTGACTCAGCCATGCTAATAATAGCACAAAATAGTACTCTCTCGAGGGTGAGCACTCTGTCGTAGTCTATACCACAAAGTGGCAATCTACGCCTATACCGACACATGTAGTTTCATGACGACGAACACAATATATCCGAAGTCAATCTCGGTGAACACAAGTAACTCCCAAAACA